TTTTATATTCCCTCGTAAAAACTTTTTTTAGAAAATTAAGGGCAAGGGTGGATGGGCCTGGGATACGATACATTCCGTGCCAGTCCGCCACTGATACTGACCTTGCCTGTCTGACCTGCACTGCTGAGAATTCTTTTTCAGGTCTAAAAGCTGGGTTACACGATCACTTTTTACCATCACTTTGTTCGATATTGGACCAACATGCTAAAATGTGATCGTGTAACATACTAAAATTGTCAATTTTCTCTGCAGAATTTAATGCGCCAGGTGCAGAATAAAATCGAGTTCATCACTTTTTTTCAAAGGCGCCGACAAATTCTTACGTCACATAATGTTTTGATGAGAAGGAAACGGCCTAGAGTTTCGAGAAAAGAAGAAAAAGACGTGTATTGTACTCAGAAACATAATTATTAGCAGAAAACGAATAGGAATAATGATTTTGAGTAGATCGAAGAGGAGCACCTTACAGAAAAATAAATGCAGTTTGATAAAATGCACTCATTGTTTATAAGAAACCCACTATAAGAAACCATTACTTGAAAATGAGAGGCATATCACTGAAAAAAATCTCGTTTGTGATAAAATCACAGAAAGTCTCAAATAAATCAGTAAAATCACGCAAAAACTCGCAAAAATCACTCGAAATCACACAAAATCACAGAAATATTGAGATGGATCACAAAAAATCTCTTACACTTTTTCAGGAGTAATATGCCCCTCGCCTTTTGTCTATAAATTCCAAAGTTTCAGTTGTTTTTTCAAGACATGCTTTGCCAAAACAAATGAACAAGTTGTTTCTTATTCAGAATATTGAGTGGGAACTGTTTAAATTTAGAATGAAGTTTCCAATAGAGATACTACAATTTTGCTACAGAAGATTTAAGATAATTAAAAAAATTGAAACTAATTGTAAAAATATAATTTCCAAAAAAAAATGTTCCAGTCATGTACAGCAGTTCTTTCAATCTGTAAAAGAAGTAAATTTTTATCAAATTTTCTGCGCAGGAAGCAAGATACAATACAAAATGAGGCAATTCATGCTTAGGTGGAAGATGCAGAAGAGAAAGGGGAGTACCACACAAAAGCTTCAATTGTAGCAGGCAAGAGGAAAATCTTTTTGTAGAAAAGCTCCTGCTCTCCTTTGGCAATACATAAATCGCTGATATCAAGCAAAACAGATCAAATATCAATTTACAGATTCTCACTTATCATTGACAAGGGGTCTTACTTTGATATATATTACCAATATTCTGTACAGACAGCAGGAACAACAGGAAATGTTGATATATGAAAAAGGTGATAAACTAAAAAGAATATTAGTTTTCAAAAAGAGCCAATCAAGGAAATTACCAATCTTTGGTGCCTCATACTATTTAAATTCGAAAAAGTTGGATCAATATTTATATTAAGTTGGATCAATACATATAAATGAACGTTTCTAACCTCGATTATTTCAAAATTGACCTGAATTTCTTCAGGGAGGGCGGCAAACATGACTTGACTATCATCATTGATGATAGTGCCATCCTCAAGAGCCATGTCTACCACGGCTCCCTGAAGTCTAAGCGCTTTTTTTCCTAGAGAAAAATGAAAATGTTGAGTTTATGCCTAATTTCTGCTGCTTAACATGAGAGGCATACCACTTTTCTTAAAAATTTTACGAGATTTCATAAAGCAATAGGATTATTGGGGATTATTCACGGGTTTTTCTTGATAACCAACCAAAGGATTTCTGCCAAAGGTTTACAAAATTTCTACGGAGTGATATGCCCCTTGGCTTACCATGCATTCTGCAAAAAGGGCCTTTAACTTATTCCAACAAACTATAATACAAATTGAATAAACTAACGCGTTTGTCAAACATTTGGATGCATTTTCTATCTTATTGACTGACAGTGAAAAAACATAGGTAAAATGGAAAAAATGCTCTGTTAACTGCCAACTGGAACCAAGGCCCTGAGGTTATTATATTTTCCTTGCTTAATCCTTCTGAATTAAATTCTAGTCAGATGGGGATGAGTGTCAATATACTCATTTTTATAAGAAACGGTAGGCTCAATTTTGCGAAAGTTGAGAAACAACCCTACCCAAATTGAAAAAAGCTAAGAAACTTTTATGATTAGCATTTTTTTCAAGTTGACACTCGAAACAGTCTTGAAATTGAGCATCACTGTATATTGCAATTCTACACTTGACATGAAGTTTGCATTCATTCTCAGCAAATTGCAAACTTTAGAAGTTTCCATTAAAAAATTTGTTTTCACTTCAACTTGACAGCGATGAAGTTCAATGAGCTTAACTGTTTACAGATCTCAACAGAGTTAGTGATGCTAGGAAAAAAAATTCTTTGGTCATTTTTTCTTAGTTTATCTTGAATGTGAGTGAACTATTACTTTGGAAGCACGTTTACTTTACTTTGGAAGCACGCTTAAAAAATTCATTACCCATGAAATTTAAGAATCAAGTAAGAAACTTTTGATAGCAAAATAGCCAGAAAATTTAAGAAACTGCCTAAGAGCACGGTACCTTTGTTTCATATAAAAAATACGTGCACCTAGGTATGAAAGTTTTTCTTAAGTTTTCCTGTTTTCAACTTGAATCAGATTAATAAACATATCAATCCATTAATGTTATGTACCAGATCAAAATCAATAATCCAAGTTCATATAGCGGGTAAAAGAATACTTCATATAGTTCAACAGCTCTCACCTTTCTCCCTTAGCTCCTCTACACTGTCTGCCTCCACCAGGGCAGTGACCCTCCTACTTCCTCCCTCGTTTGAGAAGCATGCCCAAATCCAAGTCATCTGAGAAAAAAGAGGCTCATCATTCACAAGCAACGAAATTATAGAAAGAAGGTATAGCAAACATGAAATTAACCCAGAATAGTAATCTTTTGCAAAGAAGAGCGATTCAGCAGTTTTTTGTGGCAGTAAACGTCTTACCTCTATCACGTTTAGTTCGAACTAAAGCAAATTTCGATTCGACCACCTCCACAGTCTTAACAAATGAAGTGTCAATTAACCTGTTGTTTTTTGAGCGCCAAAAGCTAAGACTCAAGCAAAGACACGTGAATGAGTCTACATCCTGTCGACTTTGTCACACCTCATCAGAATGACCTGATGGCTGTTTCAATTCAATGTAAATTTGTAGAATTTGAACTGAAATTACGCTTCCACTTATAGTATAGTCACAACTTTGCTATAAACTTGCATGTTTGCCACCCACAATAGTGAGAGTTACAAATTTCCTGCTCTTCCCAATAATTATGAACTTGTTCCCTAATAAATAAGGCTGGGCGATGGTCAGTGGCGAAGACAACAGCCAATGCTTCTTCTCTGTGGCCAGGAAAATGCCGGTTGGGAGGGGGGGGGGAGTTGTTTGCAGATGTTTGCAAACTTCAAGAAAGTTGGTCACAGAGCATTAATTAGAAAGTTTGACCAAATCTCAACCTATAATTCATTTATTTTATTGGTCATGGTTGGTCATAGTCAATTTTCTTATAAACCCAATAAATATATTGTAAAGAATCAGCTTTTGCTACTTATGATTTATTTATTGAAGAATTTGCCCAATTAGGACATGCTACTTGCACAATGAAGGCAATTTCTATTTTTGCCAGCCACAAGGTGCCAATCCCAGCAAAGTACCACGCCCAATTTTTATAAAAAATGTTCAAATTTCTTATCAAAAATCTGTAAAAATTTCTTATTTTAGCCCCTGTTGATACATTAACAATGGTGATAGGGATGAAAGCCACAAAAAGGAAAACACAAAAAATTGATTAATCAGTTCTTTTCATTTTTGGCCCCCAAGTGACTCAATAATTTTATTTAAATGATTTTTTACTTGTTCCCTCTTTTGAGGGCAGACAGTCCTACCATTCCTTAGCTGCAGTTCATGGTCTGCCTTTCCACAAAAACTGCATCTCGTCATGGCTGCTGCTGGTACTTGTAGGAATTATTTTAAATATCAATCATAATGACAACAATAATCAAAATTCTGAAAACTCTGATAAGCATTTACAATATTGTGACCAACTAGAGTTTTTGTAACCAACTATAAAGAAACCCCTCTCTAACTCAGATTGGCAGGGGCTATGCCTCTTCCCCTAGTGCTACCCTCTTGTTTCCCTAATGCTCCCTACATGGTGCTACCACGTTTTTCCTTCCTCTTATGAAAGATGGAATCCTAGTTGTCCATTAACCCCCCCCCCCTCTCGTCTCTAGTGGCTGCCACCGCCCATGCGTATACATGGGGTATTAGTCAAATAATTCTGTTATCTCAATTCGCCAACCTTGAATTTCGTTGCACTGCACCTGTAAATAGTGTTCTAAGTGTTCTGAGAGTATATATTGGAGCCTCTTAATGCTTTAGCGACAAAGGCATAGGAAGCATCTCAAAAGTTAGAGGGCCAGATCAAAAGGAGGCAAATGACCACACCCATAGGTGGCCAAAGTTCCAAAAGGTTCCGGGCACTTTTAGATTTGGACATGCATTTTGGCACTGTGTACCAAAACGTGGAGGGGCATGTGATCATTTGTTGCCTCCATATTATACTGCAGCTAAAATCTTAAAAGTTTCAACATTGACACCTAACAATTTGTTTTTAATGATCTTTGGAAATAGCTTTTTGAATACATTGAATTTTCAAACGAAGATTCATTAGGCAATCATCTGTTTGTGTACATTAAGCTATGCATAGAGGAAGGCATTACCCCAAAAGTAAAAGAGATATATATATACGTGACATCTAGACATATAGATATGTATAACTAAACTTTTGTTTCACAAAAAGCAGTAGTGTTATAAAGAAAAATGTTTTAGAAAAACAATGAAAAAATAGCACTTTTGCATAGAATGATATCTTATTTTTGTGCTTTATCTCTACAGGCCTGTTTCGTGAATAACTCACTCTTCAGGAGATTTTTGAGGTCCTGCAGGGGTTTATCATTCCAGAGAAAGCAGTGTTTTCTCACTAATTCCTGTCATCAGGAATTAGAATTAGCATATGTCAGCTTCTAATGATATCAGCCAAGAGCATAGGCAATATGGGGGCACAGATGGCGCTTGTGCCCAAATTTTCACAGGCTTGGCAGCTACAGTGTTGCCACTTTTTACTTGTGAGTATGCCCCCTGAATTTATGTGCCCCTTCCTCTAGAATGTTCCCTACGTCCCTTGTGTCATCTTTATCTCAGATTAGCAGGAAGCACAATGGCATATTTCTCTTGAACTTTTGTGATCTCTTCAAAAAGTCCACACTCAATGGCGTAACAGAGAAGTGTGGGGCTCTTAATGAAAGTAGTATTTTGGGTACACTAAATTTGAGTCAAGTTTTAGAGTCATAACTTGACTCATAGAGTTTTAGAGTCATGCTATTAAGAAATATATGCTGTCATCCAAGAGCCCACCTTTTCGAGAAATTTCTTGGGGCCCCTTAGGGACAATTGTATTTGGGGGCCCATAGTTTTGTGTCACTGCCCACATTCTGCAGTTCCAGGGGCAGATCCATGGGGGTGCTAGAGGGGCGATCTACTCTTGCAAATAGCGTACGGGATTGTGCCTAAAACTGAAGGATTTCTGGGGATTTTCGGGTAAAGCAATAGGATTTTCAAAAAAGGTGTACAAGATTCCCAATTTCATTCGTTTATCCCTAGATAGGATGTTCTATGGGTGCTCCCGCCAAATCTTATCGCCCAGGGATAGCAAATGTGATTGGTTCATTCTTTAAGATCAGAGAATGTGATTGGCTTTCTCTCTCTATGAGTGCTCGAGGTTTATCCCATTAGCTTTCTAGGGGTGTTACGAGCTGCGAGAGGACTACAAGTCACCGACACCGACTTCACTGAAGTAACGCCAAACCGGAGGTAGAACAGATAAGGAAAATGAAATCTAATCAGAAGGTTAATGTCAAATCGCATAGGTATGTACAGTTATCTCTTTGTCTATTCTTTATATAATAGACAATCTCCGATTTAGAAATCCCCGTTTGAATTCGAATTATTGATTGAATGCACCCTGCGTCTGTTGTGATTCCTGTTTCCTATGTATAAAACGTCCTTCCATGATTGAGATAGTACACGATTGTCTTATTTTACATGCAGAGAAGGCAGAGCCGGAAGTAGACTCAGACTATGTCTCAGGTCGTAGAAGATGAACTGACACAAACTTGTCTAATTTTAATTGAACAGTAACCCATAGCTTATCTACATATTTACAAGAACTATTTTAGTTATTACGAATTACGTGAAACGAAAGATTATTAGGTTTGTTGACATATGTGAATAGCGTAGAAGTGGAGAAATGGATACGCACTCTTTTTTATGAGAATAAAGTCGAATATTAAGGCTCAAAATTGCTAATATTTCAGAAGAATTTAAGAATAACGCCAGGCTCAACTTTCATCAAGACTAACAATTTTACGAAAATGGATGTTTCATGATCGTATTTGTATCATTAGATTTTCCTTTTAAATATCACATTTGTTGTTCTGTTTGTTCTTGTTGAAATTTACAATGAAGCAACACATCACAAAAGATTTAAAATTTTTCTTTGATCTTAAGGCGAATTTACTTACAGCTTTTATTTGCAAGAATAACTTAAGGATTAACTTAGGCTCAAAATCGAAATTTTTTAAGAGTATCGGGGCTCGGCAAAAAATTAGGTATTCATATAAAAAAGGTGTGTATATTTAAACAATATTAGAGGAATTACCTGTTATGTTGACAGGGAGTGACATGGTGATGCCCTCTGCCAAGGTGTAACAGGGGCATTTTTAGAGAAATACGAGCGTTTCTCATCTCCCTTTTTGGCTGCAAGGCCTTGCCTGAAAGGGGCCTGGTCATCAAATTTTCCCGGACCCATAAAAATTTTCGCTAGATCCGCCTCTGCCGGTATAGTTGGATTTTTATCTTTCTAAAACTAGTGGCGAAGGATTTTGGAGTGGGGGTGCAGCAACAGAAATGTACTGACGGGCTGCTAAATCTCCCAGGATTACCAGTAAGTATTAATCGCAACCTCACCTTTCCCCGGCAAGCCAAAAGAGCCCTACAACCCTACTTTGATACACCCCTGTCTACTGTGGAAGCTCTCTCTTAACTAAGAGATATCTCAGAAGTAATGTGTTCGCTCCAGTTCACTTCGCTCTGTTGTCATGTTTCTAATGTTTGCTGCGCAATTCGCTTGTAGTCAAGAACCGAGATATAGGGGGCCGGTGGGACTCGGCCCCCAACAAATTTTCAGTAGTTGCTTTATTCTTGGTAGACTTATTACAGATGACGATATAGACTTGAGGCAACTCTAACTTGTGGTTAGAAACAAAAATCTGCCTTGCTTTAAGCCAATCTGAAGGGTCGTGGGAAAAATTTTCTCCCGCGGTGTACCCCTAGACCCCCGTAAAAAGCTCCAGTTCGCTTTACTTGCCTACCAATTTGCCGCCCTAACAAAAAGATGTATCTCGGTCCTTGCTCGTAGTGTGACCTCAGATTTCTCGTAACCTTTTGTAATTCTCTCTCCGCATGGAAGCCCGCTACTACTCTCGCCAGGCCAAAGTAATCTTTGAAGATCTGGAAACATCTTTCTGTGCTACTTTCCATGATTGACTACTTAAAAGTATATTTATTAAAACAAATGCCTTTGGGCTTTTGACTATGCAAATGTGGGCTTTTGACTAAAATGAGCATGCGCAAAACGGGCCAGGGACCGGGTGCAAGGGTAGCCTGGGCTAGGTAGAGCATTTTTAATCAAGGACTTGGATATAGGGGGGCCGGGGGAGGGCCCTGGCCCTCCCAAAAAATTCAGTACCATAAGTAAAATACTTTTGTATTACTATTTAGTACTTTGAGAAATAGTTAAGATTTAAGTTCATTTTTCAC